TTGCTTTAGACTTGGTGCTCAACTTCTGAATACGATCAATACGAGTATGTTTCGCGATGCGTTAAGATTTCCACACAAAAGCAAAGAAATGATTTCATTACGTTGACACGTTGACTGTTACAGTGAAAAGGACCGTTTGTCGCCAGACACACTTTATTTCCCGTTTAAGTCATAACATGTCCAACAATATATGCGTTTAGTCAATAAATTGCATAAAATTAATATACAATATTAATTTTATACAAAAATTTTGTAACGGTATTTAAATAATCCAGGATGTTCGCAATGTACGTGTTACCCTTATTTGGGTTATGTGGCAGTCAAAGTGTTAAAATAGTAATTATATTAGATGCACTAATAAGTAATTCATTATTTTTTGGTAAATTCTGTAATAGTTCCGAAACATGTCAAATACACACGCTACGTTAATACATATTTGTTCCTTCTTTTCGCTACGTTAATACATATTTGTTGTAACGTGAATTTTAATTTTGATCGCAATCTTATTGCAAACATAGTGGATTGCTTATGGATACACCTAATAGTTAATAAGAAGTGATGTCTAAATAAGCACGCGATAGTATACTAATTACAGAAATTTTAACATATTGCGTACGGGTCACGAGATATCTCGTGTTTAGCAAATGAAACATAGAATTCGAGTCACGAAATGTTTCGTTCATTTTAATACAGTAGATAGATTCGTAAGAAGTAGCTAATAATGCTAATGAATTTATGAATGTGAACATGAAACAGTACATGCATTCTTTGGACAACACTTCCCACAGTGAATTGATGATATAAATTTTGGAATATTTTATTAAACACCGACATTGATTATAACAGAATCTTATGGTTTGAATGAAAAACATAAATTGAACACAGTAGAAGTTTATTCCCCCAAAGAAAAAAAAAACAGAAACTGAATATAATAGAAAATTCCAGCTTTGTAAAAATTGAGATTAAAACATTCTGACAAACAATTCTAATATTTTTAATTAACAAATGTAATATTTCTCATTAACAATTCCAACATTTCTCATAAATAATTCTAATACTTCTGAAAGTATATTTCTAGTATTTCGGAAACAGTATTCTTAGAGTGCTGCAAAATGTGCCTGTTTCTGCCGACTAGAAACAAGACAAGTGTTTAATAGAAAAATTCTATTAATCGATGGATAAATAAAAGTTATATTACTATGCAAGAAATACATATTTCGTGCTTCACGAATACATATTAAATTATTTTCCAAATTCATACTTTACACAGTATCCAAATTAAAAAATCCTCTGCCTCTCGGGTACCATGATTGAATCATATTTTCTGTTCATCTCCTGTTTATTTCATGAAAATTTGTTATTTCATCATCGAGTTTGTTCGACTGAGAAGTGGGCACAGCTAATTGGAAATTCAATAGTGTTATGTGCGCAACCAACGAAACGGAAGTAACAATAGACGTAGCAATGATATTTCGTGAATATACGTTCGATGGTTTCTCGCCGAAATAGCGAAAAATCGTGACTGGAATCAAATTACGTATATTCGTTATGGATACGTGGTATGAAACAAGGTCTGAACGTTGTAAATCACGAGGAAGTGTAAGTAGTATGTTTACCATTTATTCCTCGTTTTTAAAACGTTTCCATCGAAACACTTGAGTGACACGATGATTCGTCGATATGGGTGATATAAATAGATTAGATTAGATTTTTGTGTTTAAAAAGATGGAGTCGCTCGCACCAACTAGTCAGCGATATCAACGGTTACTGTACTCTACAAACATGGAACAACTCTTCAGCAATCTTTGATCTTACTTACGAAATACTTAAAATATAATTTTACACGTTATTAATCATTTTTTATTACACATAGAGTAAAAGACCCATTTACTGCCACTTACCGAATTATTGCCATTCCCAATTGTTTTACTAAAACTAATAAATAAACGTTGTGAAGAGAAACTGTGCTTTTAACATTTTAACGGTGTTTATTGGACCACTTTTTGGGTAATGACAAGTGTACTCGTCATGTAAAACAATAAAGTAGCTTTTGCTATGATAATTAAAATTTCGGTAAAGATTGAAAAATATATTTCACTTATTCAAATAAAGGAATCCAATTAACTAGACACGCAGATACACATTTCTAAAACAAAATTCTACCGTTAAAGGGTAAGGAGTACTGCAATTTTATTTTTCCACTGTAGACATAAAGTCCCTGAACTTTTTCATCAGATCCTGTATAAGACGAGCGAATCGATGGATGCGCTTCGGGAATATTTGATATAATGCTTCCCCATGGCCAAGCCGTACATCCGCGAGTACAGCTTTAATTGGACGGATTCCAATCAGCACAGCAATCGAATCATGTATAGAGTTCGGCGGTCGTGGAAAGCAATTCGCCGATAAAACGAACAAGAACGCCTCAATTTTCGCCGGAGAAATCAAAGATATCGGAGCACGGCGACCGGAGTTTCCGTTTAATTTAACTAGAAAATTATTCGGAAAATAAATTTTACGCGGGTATCCCGACCCAGTCCAACGTTTCTTTAATTACTCTCGAAAAATAGAAAATTAACCGTCGAAATGTCGACAGTTTCTACGATCGCGAGTACAACGAGAACCGATAGCACTTTCGGTTGTGTAAACTGTAAACGTTTCAGACTGCGTTTCTATCGTTTGGGTATGATTCATTTTTATTAATTGCTTCTGGTAGAAGAAATCGTTGAGAATTGAAAAAAAAAAAAGCAGACCCGTGCATCGTTGGGTGAGATTTGTGATTGACGATTTGACTTTTTCATTCTACATTTAAAAATACAATGACTCACCGGTTTGTTAAAATTAAGTAAAATTGGTCTCCGAAGGACGATAAAAGTATAGATAATGAAAATATATAAATAGAAATTACATAAAAATTTGTACGCTTAAATGTTATTTCAGAAGTATGTGAATGAATGTGTGAGTCACTATAAATAAAGATAAATATTTTTATATCAATGTTTCACGTAAATATAAACAACTCTTCCGTTCTTCTTCTTTTATCATTAGCGAACACATGTTATTGGGTTGTTCGGAAAATTTTGGTCGATTTTCAATAGGTAAGTAATAAAAAATATTGTTATACGAAAAATACGGACAACTCACGTTAAAATAGCGGTGCCGGACTTTCGAGGCGAGTTTCTCCCGGAAACGCTACTTTAACGTGAGCCAATGGGTACGCAGGATCTCGTGGCAGTTCGGTCGATCCACCTAAATTGGTTCAGATGATCTGACCCAATTGGATCAGAACTTTGGTTACAGATGGCGACCGATATTAATGCCTAACCTAATGCCTACTCCTTTTGCCAAGGAGTAGAACATCATCCGACGGTATGCCCCAGGGATCATTAGAGTATTTTTTAGTTTCAGTTCCATCTTCCCCAAGGACGTACCTGTCGTCGTTTCAACGGTGTACCTATCAGAGGCAATCACCTCCGCGCGAATCCACATTTCCGCGGCACACACCGTCGCGGGATAGGAGAGCTCTCGACGACGCCTGGGATTAGATTACGGCATAAGCGGCTTATTTATCGCCGCGGCGACGCGGATACTCGCGAGTGCAGCGAACGCAATCAACACGCCGCGAAACAGCCACCCACCACACCACACCACACCCCCCCCCCATCCCTCCATCCCTCCGAAAGCGTCTCGTACTCGCGCGTGAATCTTAACCTCGTCGCATCGACGTAATATCGTCGAACGTTCTCTGAGCTCGGGAAGCGGTTTTTCAACGTAGGAATTCCAGACACGCGTGGATACAAAACGACGACGCGGAATTTATGGCGTCTCGCGACATTATCGAGATTGTTCGGAGATAAGATTTGGTTTTTGATACGTTGGGAGCTTAGAAACGTTGATTCGATTTATAGCAATGGTTTTTCATACGATTGAATATTGGACGTAATGTGGGTTGCAAGTGTCATTTTAGAGTGCGGATTAAATAGTGTTTTTGTGTACTGTATAATTATATGACAAACTATGATTATTTGTTTGCATTCAATTTCTACAACAAATGATAAGCGGAATACGCGAGTTATCTATACTGTATCTGATAACTAAGTAGAGCTGTTCAATGCCAAAACGATCAATAAACGAACGTTGCGATAAGAAACTAGACAAATTGATTCCAGGGGCATTACAAAAACACGTGACTTTATCATAGACAACAAAATTCCATTACTTTCCTCAAAGATAAATCTTTTTTGTTTCGAGCAATTATAATATTAAAGACAACATTTTTATTCGAACTATTAAATAATTCAATTTTCGACTGTAATAATGGAATTTTCCACATATAATAAAGCATGAAAATATTCATATTTTTTATGTTATACGCAATAATAATTAACTGTTTGTCCCGTATAATTGTTATTACTAGACTGAGTATATTTATTCAAATTCCTGTCACTATTGATAAATTTTCAAAAACAGACATCAAATAACAAATTATTTTCTTTACAAAAGGTTTTCATGAATGCAAAGGAGTAGAAATATTTCACGAAATTCGACTTTATTCTATTATTATATGGAACATTCACATAGGCTAAAGACCAACACTCCAATTATTACTACATACGTAGGTAATATCTATGTATACACACGAATATACAGAATCGGGTATAATGAATAATATAAAAAGCAGAACTCTATTTCCACATTCTTAATAAAAGAATACTTTTATCTCTCACTGTAACCTTTAACATAATCCTCCCTGACTCGATAAAGTCTAATATTTCTGAACGTACTGTTGAATAATTACTAACGCGTATACACAAAAGTACACCTATTTCAGTGTAGTCAATAATATTACAAAACAGCTCTGTTCCCCCGATTCTCATTATCTCTCTCTAATCCTCCCAAACTTCATAAAATCCAAACAATTTTCTCTTCATCTCTCTCCAAATCAACAGCCTCAACACACGCAATCCACGAAAATCAAAATCTAGTCTCGGGCTACTTACGTGTCATAACCGTTTGGAAATCAGCCTTCTACAGCACAAACTCAAACAATTCGACACCCACACACTAAAGTTCCGCCACTGGAGGTAGTATCCGCCCGGAGTCTCGCCGTACCGAGCGTTCAAATCACTCACTGAACCCCACGGACTCACTGAAACCGGGATCGTACAGGACACACGCGACGCGACACGACGGTACAAAGGACAAAGGGCGAATTGGGAGAAAAGAGAGATATACCTGGGGAACGAACGATCGGTGACTAATGACCACGGTAATCCACGGAACGGACCAGCATACCTGGCGACGACCAGGCGTCAACTGAAAGCGCACGGCGGCGAGCGGCTGAGGAACGCCGGCCCCGCTGTACACCTGTGTGTTGTCTCCCGAGTAGGAGAAGGTGAGCCGAGTAGGAGAGGCCGAAGGAGAGGACGACCAACACTACCGAGCGCGACCTTTGCACGGGAGGTATGTTTACCGCGATAAACGGTAAACGATGCGACAACCGGTCGAAATTTACCGTGAAGGAAAGTGTAGAGGAAATTTTTCTTTCTTCACCATTTTCCGGTGAAGATTGATTGATCACTAAACTACGGATTTTTCTGGAAAATAACATTTTGTAAAGTGATTCATGAAGACACGAGCGAAAATAGGAATTTCTTCTCTTAAATACACCCGTCCCTAGATTTACGTCGCGTGTTTGCTCCATCTGGTTCTTCTTTATGCGGATAAAAGCCGTTTAAATGGAGTCTGCCTGTATGAAAAAAAAATTCTCAAGAGAAAAAGACAGTATAAGTTATAAAAATATTTATTTTTAAAAAACTAAATGGAACGAGTACTCCGCGTAAATCGAGGGGCGGGTGTATCTTATTAGATTAAAATAGAAACGACGTTGAATTTTATGGTAATAGTTTCTTTCATTGTATTTCACAAAGCTCTGTAGACTATAAATGCAAAAAATCCGCAGTCTATTGTTCACTTTTCCACTGCGGTTTGGTTATTTGTATATTGCGTTTGAAGCTGGTTTTGACTCATTCACGACTGTAGATTTTAAGGGTTTTGCGCGAGATATCGACGTGTTTCAATGAAACAATTATGAAGTATTCAGTGTAAAAATTAAGTCGTAACACCCACAATTAATTAATGACTCAAAACCATCATTTTTTCTAGAGTGGATTCGCCAGTTGCCCGAGAAATGGCGTAAATCTGTACAAAGAGTCCTGTTAAATGGGGTATGAAAAAATTATACTGGCCATTCGTACATTGTGGATATTGTGTATTTATGACACAAACAGATGTGTAAAATGTAATGAAAGTAAATCTTTCAGCATGAGCAAACAGGTTCCTTTATATACATACATATATTATTGACTCGATGAATACTTTCGCTGCTGAAATTTATTCCTCTGTGACTCTCAGTTTTTGTTACACGTTACACGTTGTATGAAAATGGATACTTGTATAAACAGCAGCTGCGTAGTCATTGAGATTGGTGTTTACGAGCAGAGATGAAGCATAAGTAAAGCATTGAGTAAAGCATAATAGACTGCTGATCTTTACGGGAGAATAACACATATATGGAAATATACAAGAAGTTTGCAGAAAATATGCTAAAACCAAGCTGGGAGGAAAAATTTGACAACTATTGGACAAAAAGTTATATTTTCTGTATTATTTAATATATTCGAATATATTCGTATGTTGTAAGTGGATACAGGGTGAGTCACCTAAAATATCTCCGTTATTTTTAACGATACGAGAAAATGTGTAGGAAGAAGAGGTTTGTTTCTATAGGGCAGTTATTGTGATAGAGAAGATCTGTTTTTCAACGTCTTTTATGTGTAAAATATTAAATATATTATATATCAAATATTTATCAGACAGTTAGTTAGATTGCATTAATATTTAAAGATAATATACTGTATAAACTTCCAAACTTTGACGTCTCAGAAAAAACTGCTTGTCTAAGAAAATTTCTCCATACATTCGACGACCTTTGCACAGAAATTTAATAGCACGACATTTTATAAGACACTCTACATAACTACCAAAATTATTACTGTTATTATTATTAATATATTTAGTATACATCTGAAAAACGTATACAATAAGACCGGAAGATTTCCTGTCAAATACCAAAGAATATGTTAACCACAGAATAAAAGGTGTTTTTAAATATGGAACATTTTAGTCGCGGATACAAAGGTGTTTTTGGATATACAAGAATGTTTTCGATCACTGAACAAAGGTAAATTAAATTTATACCTTATAAAGATATATGTATATTATAAAAGGTAAATAAATATTATATTACATAATAAAAATTATTAAATAAACCCACCATACGTTAGGGAAGATGTGCAACGTTCGAAAGTCGTGATCGAACGATCATGGACAGACAAAGACAACGTATTTGTAGGAAGTTCAACGATCCTGCTCGGATTCCTTTGTCCCCGCGGGTGTCGTAATCACCGTGAAGTACTCTTTTCCCCGAACAAAATACTTCCCTCCCTATCAAACTTCGTTGTAACATCCAAGAGTTCGTTGCTTCGAGACTCTTTCGTTCGAAGATAAATTACCTGCAGGCACTCCCCTTCAACAGGTGGAACCACGACGGTTTACGGTTTAATTCCAGAAAGAGTGGCGAGAATGCGAGGAGATTCTTCCTCTCTTATTGGAAAGACTGCGGCGGGGTCGACCGATCATGGAACGAGGTCTTCGGCTTTCGTGCAAAGGCCATCGGGGAATGTTGCTTGTCGACCGCGAGAGGAACAGGTTTGCATATTCTGTTCACGCTTTGTGTTCCTTTTGGATTGTTTTCTTGGTAAGTTCCACTCGGTTCATCTCTTGATTTAAGATTTCCAGGAAGAGCGCACGAAAGTGAAACACAGTGGAAACTTTCATTATACGTAAGAATAACTCTGTTAATTGAATAGTTCATTATCCGAAGGTCCTGTATTATATTTCTTGGAAAATTCTACCGCTACCTATGATTAGAATATGTGAAAGAAGAGTAAATGAAAATGAAATAGAGATGGTTATTACGTAACCTTTATTTCGACATATTACTTGCGTGCTATGTGTCAAGTAGGGTCAATTGACCCCATTATCATTAAATTATACTTTTTTAAATTAATTTAAAGACATTTTTCATGAAAATTTGAGTGCTTTCAGAGATTTCTGGATATTTCTCACGTTTTTCCTTTTTTTTTGTTTGCAAAAGAACGATTTTTAAGTTTTTTTTGTTTTATATGATTTTTTTTATGATTAATGTTCATGTTAAATGTGTACTAATTACAAATTTATAATACATAATTAGCTTTCTAAACTTTAACTATTATTTGTAACTATCAAACAGAAAATGATCCGATTCGCCTCGGTCTACCCTATGCCAATCGTTCCCGAAACGCAGCTGACAGTCGACTACTAATTACACAAGGTCTCCATCGGGTTTCGACGTTTAAGTTTCGAACGGATGTATACGTAGAGGCGGGATGCACGGAGCCGCTTTGGGAAAACTGCAACAATCGGAATCCACAGCTATGCAGCACGTACGAAACGATCCCGGGGCTGTTTCATTACCGCGGGTGCCCTGTAGTATTGTATCGGCGGCGGTCGAACAAATTGCTTCCTTCCATACGGTTTTCGAATTGCGGGTACCATAAATACCGGGGTCCACCTGCGGGGAATTCGTTGGACGGAATTCATCGGCCGCCGAGTCGGCGAGGAGTCGTAAGTTATCGGGAATCGCAGGAGGAAAATTGAACCGACGCGGAAATAAAACGCCGCGGATCGGTCTTTTCTTTTGCTCTGTATGTTGTAGAAAATAATGTGGGCCGTCGAATGTTTTTCTTTCTTTCTTTCTTTCTTTCTTTCTTTCTTTCTTTCGTTCGTTCGTTCGTTCGTTCGTTCTTTCTCCCTCGGGTTCGTAAGGGGGAAATAAAGTGTACAGAAATGGACAGAGTAACAAGTGATTACGTTCCGCCATTTTGGGACTTTCAGAGGCCTTGGTATTATTACAAATTGACATTGTATACACGTCGTTTGGTGTTTTACGACACGATACACGGGGAACTATTGGAAACGAAGAGGCATTTGGAGTAGTAGAAGAAATTAGTAGGTTATTATTACTTACATACTCGTAAAAATATTACGAAATTATTAGTTACAGTTCGTCATAAATAGACTGCGGGTTTTATGGATTTATTGTATTTGAGTTGTCTGAAAATCAATATAATAAAATGTTTAACCCTTAGACTGCAAACCACTTGAAACCAGGATGCTCCCTGTGTATCAGAGTTGAGCAAACTGTAATCTAATTACAAAATCTAAATTACAATTACAATGTAATTGCAAGGTAATTGCAGGACAATTATAATTACAATTAGAATGTAACTGTAAAATTACAATGTAATTTTAATTTCAATCACATTGTAATTACATTGTAATTGTGATTTAGATTTTGCAATTAGATTACATTTGCCCAACTCTGCTATTTTTTCTTTTTCATTTCCTTTTTTTTTTTTACAATTCCATTAAAATATTTTCTTTAAAAAATAATTTTGTCAAATCCCGAAATTCATACGAAAAGAGCCGCGGGATAAAAGCTAGTTATTAGTATACGTATAAAAAAACTCGAAAAGCGTACTGAAACTTCCGCAGTCGTACTAATAAGTACCTACCCCCCTCTTCATCGCAGACAGTTCCCGCCGCCGTCGTTCATTTCGCTTCTTAAATTCCTATCAATTGGTGAAGGGTAACGATTTCCATCTAATACCGTCGAAACTCCCGGATAATTCGGTTCCCCGAGTTCGTTCATGCGTCGAACGTGCGAAACTTTTCCACGATTGCCTTCGAAACTGGCAAACAGCGGATCCCACCCCCCTCCAGTGACGTCCGCTGGATCTATCCGCGGGCCTCGATCCTTGCGAGAGTTCCGTCGAAAGGAATCCCGAAAGTTTTCTCGGTTTTCGACCGAGAAAGGCCAAACGGGCTGGGTCCGCGTCGAAGATTACGTTTAATCAGAATTAAGGATGTACTTGTGGGGGGCGGCATGGATGGCCCG